AAACCTTTTTGCAACATTTTGCGAGAAACCTTTTTGCAACATTTTGCGAGAAACATTTTTGCAACATTTTGCGAGAAACCTTTTTGCAACATTTTTGGAGAAACCTTTTTGCAACATTTTTGGAGAAACCTTTTTGCAACATTTTGCGAGAAACCTTTTTGCAACATTTTTGGAGAAACCTTTTTGCAACATTCTTTTGATTCCATGACGACGCTGCGCAGTTATGTACAGAGCTGTGCTTGAGCGGCACGAGAAGAAGAAAAAAAAAAACACTTATTATTGTAATGTAATTCCACTTTGGTATTACCTAGATAAGTGATGGGCGGAATGAGCCAGTGTCCCCGCAAAGGAACTCTTTTTTATGGTAGTGGACCAAATGAGGGTATTTAAAAGAGTTTTTTTCCCTCCGTTGGGCAAACGCGTAAATATGCAAAAACGTATATATATGTGTACATGTATGCATGGATTGCCACTTGCTCCTGCTGGCGCACGGGGACGTGAAGCGCCTTTCGCTTGTCGAATGTTCTTCTTTTTCTCGCGTCGCTTAAATGGGGAAAAAAGGAAAAATGCGAATTTGAACTCACGGCCGAAGCGCGATTATCTTTGATATGTCGGTGTGATATTTACAAAGGCAAAACAGCCGCGCCGCTTTGGAAAACGGGAAAAAAAGAGTTTCCACATTTTGAAAAAAAAGTGCAAAACATACCGTTGTTCGTCATTTTTAAAAAGGTTAATTTTGAAAAGGATACTACTTCTGTTGAGAGAAGTGCCTACATAAGGTTACAGCTTTTTTCAAACAAAAATAAAAGACTACTTGTTTTTGCGAAAATTCAGGTGGTCAAAGAGGGGCTAGCAAAAAGGAACGTTCTAGCGTAGCAGGTATTAGCTTCACGTTTATGCGTAGGGCATTATTCGTAACGCCTTGCATGGGAAGCCGCGCCTTCGTGCAGGCACAGGGCGCCGCAGAATGAATACCCCTACGACGCCAGCGTTGCCCGTTCTTTCTCTTCCCAATTTGCCAAAAGGGGAAAAATATTCAATACGTGCATGGGCACGGAGTGGGGTGTGAAACATTTTTGTTTCCATTTGCCCATTTTTCCATGTCCTCCTTCACGCAAAAAAGCCCTTTAGGTTAGCGCGCAAAACGAAAAGAAATCGAGTTGGTCACACGTGGTGGTGGTGGGCTCCCACATAACGTAAAAAAAAAAAAAAATTAAATAAAAATGAATAAAAATAAATAAAAATGAATAAAAACAAATAACTAAATGACCGCACAAATGGATGATCGGGATATTCGCTGGTCACTCCCCCCCTACTTCATGTCAAACATTTTTTCCACCGACTTGATATTTAGCCGGATGGTCACATTTAGACAAATTAACTCATTTAGTAGATAGCGCAGGACATATGGCACATAGACAATTTTACAGGAAACGCCACAAGACTTGCAAACGGCTATTTTACTCTTCCCACCAATGCTTCTGCCCTTAACCATTTCGCCACTACAGGTGAACTGCATAATTGGGGAAAGGATTAGTCCACACTGGGGACAAACAAAGCACTCATGTCCATCTGAGTTCATGAGAAACCTCTCATTAATTATAAAACTGCAACCATGAGATATTAACCCATCTCGTTCCATTTCTCCTAATCTGATTCCCCCATGTTTTTTCTTGCCCTTCAGGGGCTGATGGGTTAAGTTACAGATTGGTCCTGTTCGCCTTACTTGTGCCTTGTCATAAGCCATATGTCGTAATCTTTGGTAATAAATGACGCCAAAGAAGATGTGCGCCTGGAGGGGTACCCCGTATATGCCACTGTAGAGTAACTCTGTTCCGTAATAATCGTAGCCCTTGTTTAGCAGCAGCTTTGCGAAGTAGTCAATTTTTTCGTCATACGTGATATTGGTTTTTGCGCTGTTTTGGCTTTCCTCCTTGGGGAGGTCATTTTTTTTTTTTTCTTTATGGCTGTGATCAACCTCCTGCGCAGGAGCGTTGGCACTACTACCCTTTTCGCCTTTGTTTTGCTCTTTGTTCTTGCCTGGTTTTTCCCTCTCGAGAAAGCCCTTAACGCCACAATTGTCAATCCACTCGTTGTTGAAACTTCTCTGCTGCGTGTACTTCCTAAACGGAGTGGCGTCAATTCTCTTGCCGTAGATGCAGGCAGCCTTTCCACAAATGCTCTCGATAAGCATACCAATGGTCATACGTGAGGGGATCCCATGGGGGTTGAAAATGACATCGGGGACAATTCCACTCTCCGAAAAGGGCATATCTTCATGTGGAAACAACCTGGAAACAACTCCCTTCTGTCCATGTCTTGATGCAAATTTATCTCCCACAAGAGGTGGTCTTGTCGTGCGTAATCGGACGATTGCAATTTGATTCCTCGTACTTTTGTAATTAGTTACACAGTCTACGTAATATTCTCCATGTCCTTTAAATTTCTCATACACGGTTAGTTCGTTTGCTTTATTGATATAGGAGTAAAGCGGATTCAACTCCACTATTTTCTGTTGCACGCGAGGCAAGCCGTCCTTATTTAACATCTTACCCATATGTTCGTAGTGAAATTTTAAGTTACTCTTCGCTGTGTTGTTACTGTTCGTGCCATTCGCACTGGTCCCGGCATTGCTGTTTGTGTATCTAACATTATTTCCGAGTATAAACTCTCCACGGCCATGATTTTTCTCCAAGTCGATAATTTCCGTTTTGTATATATGGGTCCTGAAAATACCTCTTTCTGCACTGGACTTGTTTATAATCAGTGCGTCTTCCATGTCGTATCCGGTGTACGCCAAAATGGCCACAACTGCATTGGTGCCACTAGGAAAATTATCCACCCCATAGAGTTCGTAATCTCTTGTGACAACTAGCGGAAATTGCGGCGTTATCATCCGATATATTTTGTTCGTAAATGTATACATGATGTTTAAGCTTTGTATGCCCATCGTCTGCTTCAACATTTGGCACTGGTAAATATTACGAGGACTTTGGTTGTGGTCGGAAAAGGGGGTCAGCGATCCCAAGAAGGACAGGAAAGACGTCTCTTTAAGTTCCATGTATTCGAACTTTTGCGGCATTTGCTCGTAGATGTCGAGGTTTGCGTTCTCGTCGCTGTCTGTGTAGGAGGTGGGCGGTACGCTGTGGCGGCGTTTGCCCTCACGTTTGTCGCATGTGCCGTCATTTATACCGTCACTTCTGCTATCACTTCCTTCTCCACATGAGTCCCCGCTCGATTCATAGTTCGAGCTGCTTACGTACTCGTCCTCACCACCCGTGTTGTCCTCTTGCCCATCCGTGTGGTCCCCCTCGTCGCTCTCACCGTCTTCCAAAAGCTGCAGCACCTTCCTGCTAATCGCCGATTCGGACGCCCCGGGTCCCTCCACAGGACTTCTATTCTGCAGAGCACTCCCCTTGGAGGACGACGCAAATTTCTTCCTCCTGGCATGAAACAAATACTGCTCCTTTATGGTCATTTTTTGCTGCGCCCATTTTTTGGACCTAACTAAACGTTCCTTCCTCCTTAATATCCTTCTAGCTAGGTTGTTCTTCCTGATATCTTCGTAATTTATGGCAATAGCTACGTAAGGTTGATAAGACGGGGAAATATACTCTATGCATTTCATTTTTAAATTAAACAAGGGCCTAATCAATCTCCCAGGGAAGGTATTAATTATTATGGAGTTCATCAGGAGGGGTTCATTCAAGTAGGCATTGATTTCGAAGTAGGCTTTTAAATTGTAGAGGTTATGATTCTTGGCATATTTTAACTTGTAGACAACTCTGTTGAAGTCTTGCTCACTTATGTATGTTATGGGAACCGAGTCCACCACGATGGGAATCGTTTGATCGTCGTAGATTGTAGGGATACCACTAGTATCATCCAGATTTACGTTAACTCCAATTTTTTTTAGGTATAATTTTATATTCAGCTTGTGTGATTCGTTGCTAGCCGAATTGTGCACGTAACTAAACTGCGACAAATGATTTAGCAGACCGCAAGGGGTACCGTCAGGTGTGTGGACGGGACATATGAACCCCCATGATTCCCCTAGTAATTTTCTTGGACTTAAAACTTTAACGTCTTGAAAAAAGCATCCCCTGTGGATTGCTCGAAAATTCGTAATAAATCGGAGACTGTTAATTTCGTCTGCTCCGATAACCCACCCGCTTTTCTGCTGATACCCTATATTTTCTGAGGAGATATTTCCTGTCTTGAAAAAGAATATGATGGGCATACTGAGCGTGGTGAAGGACTTTGCGATTTCTATGAAGAGGTGGTTGTCGTTGTAAAGCTCCCGAACGTAGCTCTCGACGCTGTTGAAGAGTTTTTCCTTCTCGCCGATGAAGATGGACTGGAGCTTTTTCACCGCCTGGCTTTTGTGGTTAATGGAGAGCTGGTTGCCTGAGGGGGATGAAGAATTAGAAAATGCATAAGGGTTTATCTCGAGATGCATAAGGATCTATCTCGCGATGCATAAGGGTCTATCTCGGGATGGATAAGGGTTTATCTGGAGATGGATAAAAGTCCATCTAGAAATGGATAAAAGTCCATCTCGAAATTCATAAGAGTCCATCTCGAGATGCACTTTCGTGTTGACGCACACCGAATCGCCTCTCCTCACCTGAATCTGTTGGCTTGGCAACATCCGAGTCATCGCCCTGCAGCGGCACGGAGTTCAGGTGCTGCTCGTCCAGCTCGTCCATCACCATCTCCTTGTAACGGAGGTAAATCTGCTTCACAATGACCTTAAAGGAGTCATATTTTTTCTCGTAAAATTTGTAAAAGCTCCGGGAATATCTGAAAGCTAAGCGGCTGAGGCAAGTCACGATTTGCTCCTTCAGCAAGTTTGACAGCAAATGGCTACACGTCGTGACTGCGTGGTTTTCGAGCGAGTCCTTATTAATTCGAGCGATTAACTTAAACTTGCTAAAAATTAACGTCTTAAACATCATACAAACAGTTTCAAATTTCTCTGAGTAACTCTGGATGTGAGGTAGAATCACATACTTGAGAATTGTCTTGCCTTTTTTCTCATCAGAAACGAGACTATAACGAAATATACCCCTCCTGAAATAGGAAGAGCTTCCTAGATACTTCAAATTATATTTTTCGAACACTTCTTTTTCGTTTAGTCCATTTTTTATAAATATGGATTGGATGTATTGCTCTATGTACTTGACTGCATTTTCGTTTTTGATCCCCATTTTCATTTTATTGAATAGGTAGCTTTTTTTCTTGATGGGACTTAAGAGTAACAGAATAACATGCAGAGGGATTGCCACGACTGAATTCTGGTATCTAGCACCATAGGTAAAGAAATCAAATTTGGGACAAGACAGAAAGTTCACATAAACGGAATTATCATTTAGTAGGCAATTCATGTGGACTTTATTCTCCTCATTAAGTAGTATAGTGTTATACTTTGGGTGAATTACATATCTTATCACTTTTAAATGTCCTGAGATGACGAAGAATCCTCCTAATAGGCTTTCGTCTTCTCCCTTCTGGGGTAGCATCTTTTTATTTAAGCTGCTCAGATTGCACAGATTTGACAAGACCATCACAGGGATGTACCCTGCACTGACGGTAGTACTGATTATTTCATCATTCGTTTTTTTGTTAATTTTTAAAGTAAGTTCTCCTTCGTACGTTCTCGCTGATAGTTTGCACAAATAGGGATAGTCGTTTCTTGTTTCCCCCTTGTCGTTTTTCAACACGGGGTTTTTTATTTTTATGTCACTTACGTAGAATTTGATCGAATCTGTTGATTTCTTGTTAAAGTTTTGCGTGGCGTATGTGTTAAGATTGGGGGAAAATTCCACCACGGGGATGGTCTCCGGCATGTTCTTGATATACACATTGATGAAGGAGTTGTAGTCGTCTATATGAGACTGTATTAAGAATTTGGTGAAAATGTTGTACGTCCCGTTGATTAGTCTATCTACTTTGGGCTTCATATTAGGGTACAACGCTTCGATTATTTTCAGATGAAGCTTGATTTCCTCGTCCGTAATTTTCAGGTTTATTTTTTTCAGATCCTCCGCCTCCGCAGCGAGGGGGCCGCTTCCATTGGGGCGATTATCACTGGGACAGTTACCACTGGGAAGGCTGCCACTGGGACGACTGGCACTGCTGCGGCTACCACTTGGGTTTCCTCCGACGCTTTCGTTGGCCTTGTTCACGCGCGCGGCGCCACCGGGCCTGCCGCTCACTCCCTGCTTGTTCTGCAACATCTTCCGTTACGATTTTTTTTTTTTTCCCTTACGTGAACGTTTACTTATATGCTCGCCTTGCCTCCTGCAAGGGGCCTTATCTGTGCAGTCGACCACAGATGCGCTCCTGTTCGTGGGTCCTCACGTGTACCAACCTGCTGCGGTATGCACGTTCCTGCGTGGATGAACAAATTCGCATATCCCTCCCCCTGTGCGCCGTAAATAGTAAACACTCCCGAGATTCTATTCTTCAACGCGCTTTCATAATTTTTGGGGTTAATTCGGAACGCAAAAGACGTTAAGTCAGTCGCAAACTTATGATGCTCCTTCGGGGGGTGAAGCATACAACAAGAAAGAACAAATTTTTCGCAGACAGAAAAAATGGCGAGAAAATGTCGCCACGCTGAAACGTTTACTGACCCCGTTGGTATAACCAAACAGGGTGGCTTAAAGGAAAAACAAAAATGGTCCTGCGAGGAAGGATTTGGGAAGGCTCTCTTTTCAGGGGAAGGTTAAAAATGCCCCTCTGGTTTCTCAACTTGGTCGGTCAGTTTTCTCCATCCGATTGAGCATCCATGGGATGTACAGAACGGTGGGAGACTGGCCAAACGTAAAGTTGCCGTGAAATGACGAAACGTTTATTAAAAGATGTCGTAAAATGCAGACCGCCCGATTAAAATGAAATTAATTCAAAGCGTTTAAAAGGGGAGAACATCATACTCATTAATGTACGTATTGTCCTTGCGTATTTTATTTTATTTATTTGTGTGCTTCGAAAATTGCTTTACAAATGGCATATTGAACGAGCACGAAGAATGGTACAAAAAAAAAAAATCTTCTATACGTACGTTACATGTCGGGGGGCAAATATCGTCCCCACGGCTCTTCTTGTTGCTACTGCGGTTATGGCGCCATTTTGGGTCGTTTTTTTTTTTTTTTAAACTGCCGCATACGCGCATGGCTGCATAATATAATTTCATGTACAAACGGGCACCACACGTATAACCATTTGTTTGTATTGCATATATCACATTGATGGTTATGTTTATGTTTATGTTTCTTTTTTTTTCTTCCTCCCGTTCTTGCATTAGGCTAGTCACGCGCCCGAAGGATGGCACATTAGCGAGCAAACCCAGTCTCCTTTACCGCACAACTACGTATGGTTATGAACCACGAACCGTTTTTACTTGGACTGACTTTTACCGATTAGGATTTCCCGTTGCTCGAACCGCAAAATACACATAACCTTTTCATCGCGAGAGTGAGTTTACCTTATTTTTTTTCCGTCGAATTTGAACTTGCCCCTTTTTCTGTGCCAGTCATCTTGTTTCAGTTTTGGCCCCCCTTTCCCCCACTGGGTTTGCATATCGCATGAGGACACACGTAAAATGCATGTGATGACGTACGTATGTATTCTTACGTATTTGTATCTTTCTGGGTTCCCTTTTTTTTTGGAGTGATAACAGAAAGGTACTTTTTTTCTTTCCTTTTATTCACGCCGCTTTAACCAGAACTGCGTTAATCACGTGACCGTTTCTTCGCGCACCGTTTAATCCTTCCTGTTTGTTTTTTTTCTCCATCATCCGGGGAAGGACATTTTTTTATCATTGTTGTTCCCCCATGTCAGTGCTATTTCCTTCCCGTGTGTTTAGGTAGCCTTCCATGCAACCACATTGGCATTTCTAGAATGTGACATAACGGAATCTTTTTCTTTTTTTTTGCTTGAAGCAAAGGTTGATTTTTTTGTCCCTCCGGTTAGCTACAAAACCTGGTTGGCGTAATCCACGTGATAGCTGTGAGCGCATTGGCACCAGAGAAGTTAAACAAATCTAGCGGACGAGAATGACTGTGTTAAGCGCCGCCATAAGCACGAAGAGCAAAATCTTGGTTTCGCGGCAGTTCCAGAATATCAGCAAATGTGACTTAGACTCACTAACCATCCCGTTTCACAATCTAATAGAACGGGAGAGGAGCGACCACACGTACATAGAAACGGACAAAGTGAGATATGTGTACCAGCCACTGGATAGCATTTATATCTTCCTAATCACGAACATCAATTCGAATATTATAGAAGACTTGGAAATAATTAAAGTGCTTAGTCAGATTATTCAGGATCTATGTCAAGGCAACATCAACGAAAGTACCATTTTGAAAAAATGCTTTACCATCATATTCTACATCGATGAGTTGATAAAAAATGGAGTGCGAGAAATAGTGAATACTAATCAAATAAAAACCTACATTGAAATGGAATCACATGAGGAAAAATTGCAGACAATAATCAGGGAGAATAAGGAGAAGGAAGAAAAAGAGAGAAGGAAATTTATTGCTTCCAAGTTGGAAAAGAATAGACAAAAACAGGGAAAAGATCGTACTAACAGTTTTCTCTCCAATGATGTCATCACAAACGTGGACTACAACAGCAGTATGGGTTACAACACCAACATGGGTTACAACGCCAACATGGGTTACAGCACAAACATGATGGATAACTTTCTGTACAAAACGGAGGAGCCCAGTGATATTATCCTTGATGAGAGCTTCAATGCATATAGAGGAATGCAAATCTCAAGCAAAAAAGAGCAAGTGAAAATTCTAAACGTAGTGGAAAGTAACAAAATGATCAATAAGCCAAACATCAATGTAAATGCCCTCTTTGATAAACCCATCAACATTGTGATAAGTGAAAATATCATATGTACTCTAAGCTCGGAAGGAACCCTCTGCGATTTGGACATTCAAGGAACGTTCAATATGCAAATAAATAATCACAAGTATTCAAAAGTCATCGTAGAATTGGATAACGAGTATGGAGATAAGGCTAAGATACACCCCATATTAGACAAAAGTAAGTATAACTCTAATGTGCTGGAATTAAAAGACAAGGGGAAGAATTTTCGGGTAAATACAACTTATCCTTTACTCAAATGGAAAATAAATCATCTCAACGATTCGTACATACCACTTAACATTAGTTGCTGGCCATGTGAAGACAATGAAAGTACTCTCCTAAATTTAGAAATTGAAAATAAAAGAAAGAACGCTGATGATGTGATATACGATTTGAACGTCAATTTAATGTGCCCCTCTGCTAGTAAGCCACAAATTATTAGCAAAGACAAAGGCATTATTGAACATGACGGCATTCTACTAGCGTGGAAGGTAGATGCTCTGAAGAGCAACCAGAGCTGCCAAATTGAAATTTCCATTCAGTCCAAGCCTGAAAGCGTCTTCCCCTTCTCCGTTGAGGCAAAATCCAACATACTGGCGCACAAATTGAACGTCTTGAAGGTCTTTGACGAGGATACGCACGAGGACATCGAGTACGAAATTAAGAGGAACATTACTTACCTGTTTACCATTAACAAGTAGCCTGTTCCGGTGAGGAAACCGGCGAACGAGCTGCGCTTTGCATTTTCACGGGGAGGAGGATCCATTGGGACTCGTTTTTCTGCCCCTTTTATTCCAATTTGGATGCCCATTTTATGCTCCTTTTTTTTGTCATATCCATTAATTTCAAACTAGTAAAAACACGTAGCGCAGCTTAACGGGTCCCGAGGGAGAGGCCCCGAGGGAGGCGCCCTTCGACAGGTCATCCATTTAACACGTGTCATTTTTATGCAGAGGTGATCGTCGCGACAGGTTATCCTTTGCCACGCCCGCATGTGCAGACGTGATGGAGTTGGCTCTCCGCCGTCACAGGGTCATGTAAATGTATGCAAGAAAAAGAAAACTAAACATACGAGTGCAAGCAGTTAGAGGGTCCAAACGTCGTGCCTTATGGGAATAGCTACATTGGAGGGGGGAACCCCGTAATGCTTTCTCGCTGCAAGTGTACCCCCGAATGGCAAGTCATGCCGGGGTATCCATTTTTGGACGAAAAGGAAACTGCCATTTTTAAGCGTAAAAGGGCAGTCCTTCCCCCACGTACACACAGAATCGGCGATACGAAAGCCTTCTGGAATGAAAAGAATCCCCTTTTTCTCTCTGTCTCTCTCTCTTTTTTATGTATTTTATTATGCGAAAAGCCACGGTAGGGAAACGTCTCATCACTTTATGTTTGAATATCATTTGGGAGAGTCGCGCCATTGGGAGCAGACCTCCTCCGCGTTCGTAACTTCGTGCGCCCCTCCCTCCCTTTTGCTGGCAAAGCTATGCACACAAAAGTACGCTTGTCTTTTCTCCACCAGAGTAACACTGTGGAAGGGGAATATTAAACCGCCTTACCAAACCATTTCGGTGATGGAAGGGAAAAAATGCTTAACTAATTCGGACGTGTGCTAATGAGAAAAGAGTGTGAAGCTGCAGAAAAAAAAAAATTCCATCATTAAGTATCCCTGTGTAGAGCTTGCTAAAATAGCGAATCGAACAAAAAAGTGGACCCCTCGAGGGAAAAGCCAAATTTATTACAATATTTGTGTCGGGTTAATGACCGAGAAGGCGTTGAGAGGATGCTTTTACCGAGATTGCACGCTGTACGTCGGCGAGTATGTCCTAGAAGATGAACCCAGCCATGGTGAAGCGCTCGCGGATAGTGGGGCCACTTTAAATAAAGGAAAAGATGGCAGCAAAAAGGGGTACAAAAAGGGGGAAACAAATGGGGATAGAAGTGGCGATACAAATGGGGACCCACATGGGGACACCAATGATGGCGCGGGGAAAGGCATAATCACTGACCGTAACGCCTCAGACAACAACTCGGGACAGGAAGGGCCACCTGGGAAAGGCATCATTTTCCATGGCCAGGGAAAGTACATCAGAGCAAACGAAATGTTTGCAGGGCATTTCCAAAATGGCAATTACAGAAAAGGCATATGGATAAAGTACAAAAATATTCACAACTTATTTTACTACATGAATATCCACCATACACTGTCTAGGGATAAGGGCTCCATCAACCAAGGGTCTACACAGAAATTAAGAAATTTTTTATATGTACCCCTGAAGGAGGTCAATATATATATAGGAGAGTTTCACAATAATATGTTTAATGGATTTGGCTTGTACTACTTTTATCCGTTCCTGTACGTCGGGTACTTCATAAACAATAACATGGATGGCTACGGCTACATGTTTTGCGCTAACTCCGTTGGGGAAAATTTCGGGGAGGTAGCAAAGGAGGAAGAAAGCATAAGCAGCACTACTAACAATTTGTTCGACTTCTTATTTGTGAGAGGTGAAAAAGGGGGGATTACAAAAACCTCTTCTGAAAAACAAAAGGGAGAAAAAGACGCCAAAGCGGTTGTGCAAAGTGGGGAAAGTGAGAATCGCGCTGAGGAGACCTTCAAGGAAGAGACCTCCAGCGCGGAGGGGATACTCCTTAGAGCGTATGAGAAACTGGAGAAGATGATGAAGGAGAGGGAAACTCGCCTGAGGGAAGCACCGAAGAAGGTAGAGAAACCTCCGATGTGTGATCAACCGGAGCGCTCCCCCCACGCGGGCAACCTCATGGAGAAGCTGCAAAGAGACGTTTTCAAAAACTTCAAACTGCAGACGCGAAGAAAAAACAAAGTGAAAAAAATAAAAAAGTTCCTTCACCAAAATGAGAGGGAAAACTTTTTTGATATTTTCAAACTTATATCATATGAGCACCTACTCTACCAGGGCTACTTCCATAAGAACAATTTTTTGTCCACCTCGGATCAGCAGATCCTATACAGGAGTTTGTTCCTCCAGAGTTATGCCCAAATGGTCATCGAAAAGGTGAACTCGTTTCGAAGAAACTTGGCTGAGGGGGTGGAGCCCCAAGACTTGTGCATAAACGGGGACAACGTTTTGTACGTGCTGGAAAGGAAGAAGAAAACTCCAGAGGAGGAGAAGGCACAGGGAGTCGCAATTTTCAGTGGGAGTGCTAGTGTCACTCCGAATAGTAGTGCCAGCTCGGGTGCGAGTGGCAGTAGGAGTGCCATTGCAAAGGCCAGCGCGGGCACACGAAATGATGCCACACATAACGAGCGGAACGATGTACGTAAGGAACCTAAGGAGAGTGCCTCGCGCGAGGACGAGTGCAATGCAAGTGTGTGTAGCCCGGACGTGCGTGAAGGAATTCCCCCGGCAGGTAGCACTCCCAATGCAAGTTTATCAAATGAACACTACAGAGACATCATAGACATGAACCTTCTCAAACGAATGTTCGAAGCCACGGCATACGACAACGTGGACTACGCAGTAGAGGTGGTCACGGATAAGAAGCTCCTAAAATATAAAAGTACATTTGCAGGATTAAAAACAGAGAACGAGGAAAACCATCTAGAAAAAGCCACACTAAATTTAAATGGGCATTACCAACTGGTCGTCGTCAACATCAAGTGTAGGGATGACACCTCCTTCAGCTTAAATACAAACCAATGCAATATTCAAAGCATTTACAAAATAAAAATGTTTCTAATTTCTTCTACCCAATCGTCCATAATTATGTACAACAAGTTTTTCCTTTACTACATTTATGTGTACGTTAAAAATTCTGATAAGAAGGGTAAAGGGAAAGTGAGGAAGAAGAAGGGTTAGCGCGCTTGAGCGAAATTTCCCTGGAGGAGTGCATATGCGCGGAGTGTCTGTACGAACAGCTTTGACACAACGGGTGCGAAGCCCGAGGTGTCTTGAAAAAGGCGCTAAACAAGTGCCACCCGTGTGAAGTAAGAAGTTCAGCATTTCCTTTTTTTTTCAAGTGGAATTTTAAAACATTTAAGAGAACAGAGATAAATTCCGCCTTCGTAGAGCCCATCGCGTTGTCTGCAGGGCACTATGCGCTTTCCCTTTTAAGGTGCACCCACACTTGAATCCGGATGTGTGGGGGGGAAAAGAAAAAGAAAAAAATTGGAGCCCTGTCGTGTACTGTTCGCGACTTTCTCAATGTTCATTTTGCTAACGGAGGGATCATGCTATCACGTGGTTAGCATCTTAGCCAACCAGCCCTTTTTTGTAAGTGGACAAGCGCAGGGTGTGCGCGAGTCAAGTAGAGGAGAATTCACAGGAGAGATCACAGGATAACTCACAGCAAAGCGAACTCTTTAATCTCTACTCTGAGGAGCCCCCACATAACGCAGAACATTCCCCTTGGGGATCCACTTTCGCCAGCCCGCACGACGCACCTCCCTCAGAAAACGAGAACGTGCTAAAATGAAAAGCCACTACCTTAACATCTTCTCAGAAGGCTTTTAGGACAAACAAAACACAGCATCAGTAAAGATAGCAAAAAAAAAAATCTTTTTTTGTGAACATGTCTACACGCGTTAGTGAGTGCATGTGTAGTACCGCATTCGTTGGAAATTTTTTTTTTTTTGTTTTCTTTTTTCCTGTTAATGAACTCTCCTTTAAGGTTTTAAATAGGGTATTCATTCATTCCATTATCATCGGGTCTTGTTTTATAAAAATTCCGCAGCTGTCGAAAATCGTTTCGAAGAAAAATGCAGCGGCTATCCTCGCGTCGGTCTACGTAGTGGTACCCCCTTTAGCTATACGTGTGCATACGTACGTATATGTATACACACATGTATGTGCGTGTACCTCTGGAGCCGTCTCCCCCCCGCGGAGGGATAACTCCAAATGGACAAGTGAAGCCGAAACATGCGGCGGAAAAAAGAAGACCGACGATCACTACTTATGTCCAAGCGGCTTAACGTAATAAGTCAGAGAGAGGGAGAGGGTGGGGTGTTACCCATTTTGTCCTTTGCCACGTTTTTCTCAGATCATCGTAGTTACCTCTTTGATTATTCTTTTCTATAAAAGAAAAACTGAACATTAATCTCTTCGTCGATGTTATTCTGATAAGTTAAAAAAGAGGAAAAATATAAAAGTTTGTCGACGCATGCAAATGAGTCTATGGAAAAAAAGGAAGAGGACGCAAGACGCAAGAGTTTCATTCCACATTGTCCATTTGTTGGTCTATATAGGGTCTATTTGTTACTCTCCACATTGTCCATTTGTTCCTCTCCATATTGTCCATTTTTTTCCTCCATTCACCCTTTATGTGTTTCCCCTCCTTGCAGACATACAGAACATCTTAATCGTCCTCCTCATGTGGAAATACAGCAACAGTTATTCAAGACGTGTCAATTTTTTAAAGATCGGCCTGTATGTTCTGTTCAATTTGTTCCTTGTTTTGCTCTTTCCCGATGCCCTGGTTCTACCCCTCGGATTGGCTTCTGCCCTGTTAAGTTACTCTTCTAAATGAAGAAATGTGGGCATTATGCCCCTGCTCTCACCTATTGGGGGGAAGCGGAGAGCCTGTTATCAATTTGCCAACTTACGACCTTGCCAACCCCCCGAACCCACGGCATCCCCCTCCGGGCTGCTTCTCCAAAGTACCGCAAATTTACGTAAACTACAAAAACCAGAGCACGGGAAACTTATCATTTGAGTCTTACCTTTTAATTTTTTGTGGGAACTTGACAAGAATATATATCATCCTTTTTAATGTAAAGAATTAGACATACTTGGCAAGACGTTTGGGTGAGGCTGAGCATGCGCATCTACATGCATGTGCATGTGTGTATGCTTGTCCTGGTCTACACATTAACGGACTTGATGAACGGAGCATTCTTTGAAAACATCTGATGTGGACAGAGAACGTATCAATGAAGAAACGTGGCGACGAAGCAACGACGTGATAATGCCAGCGTAACTGCTTTGGGGCATTTCACTTTGCAATTACCCATCGTGGTCTTAATTTTTTTTTTGCAGATCAACTGTGGATTAAACTCCTCCTTAAATTTGACCATTTTGTGTCAGGTAAATCGCCAAAAGGAAAGCAATTCCTCCGTTCCCTAAGGAAATGTTTTCTTTTGCGACCCCGTCCTGCCGCCGTTCCCCTGCACGTACAGATGCACTTCTAGTGGAATAACACAAGCTTAACGGCGAAAAAGGACAAGAAAAAGCAATTATGCGTGGTTATTTCCACCTACATATTTAACAATGTTACAATGCTGCAAAATAAAGTGAGCAACGTAAGGTTGTCCCCCCTTTTTTTTCCTCTCATCCCAAGAGGGGGTCTGCTTCTTTGGCGCGGCGGGCTGCGCAAATGTGCCCGTTCCGGTCGACGCGGGCACAGAAATGAAAAGAAAAGAGCGCAGCGGAGGGTTGTGTTGTCCTCCCATGATGGGACTAACACGGTAGATGTTTTTTTCACAATACCGGTATTAAAATCTAATAATACTGTGTATATTCTTAAAAGTTTTACATAGTTTGAATGAAAGAATGGAACTAACAAAAAAAATAGAAATAAAATAAAGAAATCTTAAAATTGATTAAAAACTCATAAAACCACATTAAAAGTAACAAAAACTATGGGCTTATAAAATAACGAAACATATGCGTCTGTGCATGCATATGCATACGCGTACATATCAAAATATATTTTATTTTTTTTTTTGTGCTTGCGCACAGGATATACATATTGAGTAAAACTGTACTTTTCGCATTTTGAAAGAAAAAATAAAAAAAAATTCCATGTGTGAGTGTGTATTTTAAAGTACGAATTTTAATCACAAATATTATGTGTGAAAAACAAATGTCACAGGACAAAAAACATAGGGGAAGGGGGGTGTTTTAAAGCTTATCATGGCAGTCACTTCCTCGGTCATGCGACGGTTTTGTTTGTTCGATCCAGGGTTCGAGGGCTTCGTCGCTTACTCGTTTCTAGGTAACTCTCTGGCTCGCTCCTTCGATCGTTCCATCCTGCACTTCTTCACCTCTGTTTCTTCACTTCAACTTAATGACAACCACCGACATGTCGTCGAAGAACTTCCTTCTACTATCGCGGTCTACCCACGTCAACATCCCCCTGGGGGTCAAGCGCGCTTTCATGCAGGCCTTCGTTAAGACGGACTTAATAATAATCTGCGACAGCTTCTTCACAGAGTAGCTGTACTGTTTCACGATGTCGTATATTTTTTTGTCACCTAAGTCATCGGAAATTCCATCGGATACCAATACGATAAATTCATCATCCTCAGTTCTCCTTATTTTAAGTACTTCGGGAATGGCCGAGATGTAGGGAAAGGAGTGTGGCTCCTTAACGATGAATTTATTTTTTTTGTAATTAAATGCAAAGATTTTATGCTTCAAGTGAAAATCACCAAAAGTCCTTGTGCACTGTAATCGTCCTTTCACAAAACATCGATCAAAATCAGACAATTGCAATTGTGTATCATGTTCAGTTAAGCCAAAGGTTTCAAAGAATTTCACATTTCCAGTTCTGACGGTCCTTTTACACATAACAACGTCCATTTCGTTGGGATGCTCCTGAATTAATCTCATTCTTTCATTTATTTCAGTGGCATTATGTATATTATTTAACCTAACTACGGAATCTTTCTTTATTAACAATCCCCTGGAATCCCCTACATTGCTAACATAGTAATAGTTTTTATCGATGAGGACACTGAGTGAGCAAGAACCAACTCTTGTGTACTTGGCATTTCCCTGAAAGAAATATTCCTTTGCTTTTTTTAAAATGTCATTTTCTAGCTGAATGTGGGCTTCCTCCAGACTTGCTACTATATCACTTGGCGTCAAAACCTGGTTATCATTATTTCTTAACTTTTCCATTAATTGCTTCTTCACGTAAAATCCTAGCCACCTCTTCACTATGTCTGCGATAACTTCTCCGCTATGACCATCCATCACTGCGGCGAATAGGAATGAGTCATTAAAGGCTTTCATTTCGTCATAGTATTGACTATACCTCTCAAATGCATTGTTCAATATGTCTCGTCTGCTTAGGTAAGGGTTTGGTTGCACTCCGGATGCACCTGTAATGGGCCCTTTTTCAGCGTCTATCGGGGTTTGCGCTTCAGTGTTTTTAGCGCTTTGACCAGCAGCGTCTTGTGTGTTGCTACCTTCTTCTTTTTGGGATTCCGCATTAACAGCTTCTGTGGTGGACGGGATTGCCTCTGTTGGGGCAGTTTCTGCATTCTCATCGACTGGTGCTTCTGCATTCTCGGCGACTGGGGCTTCTGCATTCTCGGCGACAGATGCTTCTGCATTCTCGGCGACAGATGCTTCTGCATTCTCGGCGACAGATGCTTCTGCATTCTCGGCGGCAGGTGCTTCCGCATTCTCGGCTGCTGCAGATTCCACATTTTCGACCACTTTGTCAGAGGTTCTCTGGGTTGTCTCATCTGTTGCGTTGAGGGGTGTCTCATCTGTTGCGTTGAGGGGTGTCTCATCTGTTGCGTTGGGGGCTGTCTCATCTGTTGCATTGGAGGCTGTCTCATCTGTTGCATTGGAGGCTGTCTCATCTGTTGCATTGGGGGCTGTCTCATCTGTTGCGTTGAGGGCTGTCTCATCTGTTGCATTGGGGGCTGTCTCATCTGTTGCATTGGAGGCTGTCTCATCTGTTGCATTGGAGGCTGTCTCATCTGTTGCATTGGAGGCTGTCTCATCTGTTGCATTGGAGGCTGTCTCATCTGGCACCTTTTTTGCTGTTTCCTCTGTTACGTTCTCTGCAGCATCCACATTCATCCGATCTGTTGTTGGCTCTGCAGTTTTTTCTGTTGCCTTTACTTCCACAGAAGCTAGTGGCGTCTGAATGGGCGTGGGTTCTTGCATCGAAGGCCCAGCTATGGGGGAGCCATCAGCTGGCATAGGCATTGTTACGGCTGGCCCCATGGATGGACCCATTGACGAACCCACTGGAAGAGACATCGGGGAACCTCTTGGTGATCCTTTTGTTGATCCCAAGGATGATGGTCCCACTCGGGACCCACCTACTGGAGTAGGAATTAGCAATGTTGAATCCCAGGGTGGAATTGGTTCTAAAACAGAAGATCCAGGAGATCCTCCCCTATTTGCCCCCTTCTTTGTGCTTCTGCCTTTGTCTTTTAGGTAGGCCATGTTGACCATATCTAGAAAATAATTTGGGCTAGAGGAGGAGTCATTTCCGTTGACATATTTCATTGCGCTCTTTTCGAAGGATTGAATAAAATTTTCGTCCTCTTTGTCTTTCAGCTTTTGGTAACTACCAATGGGTTCTAACAAGTCATTAGTCATATCGATTTCGTAGACAAAGCATCTGTCCTGTATGGGATTATTGGCGGGGTATTGTATCATATTTATTTTATTCCTATTGTGCATAAAAAAGGCGCTGTTCATTTCATCGAGATGTTCAAATTTCAACTTGACTCCACCTAACGTTAATCCTCTCTCTTCATAGGGATCTTTATCGGGGTAATTGAATTCATCTTTGGGACTGTTAAAATTGTTATGTTCGTTTATTATTGACTCTTTTGGGAAATCAAATTCGGAGCCATTTACACGGCCTGATGCCGCGGCCAACAGGGTGATCAGCGTCAACAGAAGGGACCATTTTTTCTTCGGCGCGGCCTTCTCGTACAGGTTGAAAATGTCACTTAAAGCGTCAACTTTCATTTTGGACGTCCTTCGCTACCATCATTTGGCTTGGTGGCGTATGGGCACGCGCGTATTTTCGTTTGGCGAATTGCACGTTGGGAAAGATTATACGTGGTTGCAAAGGGTACGTTTGCGCGTGCGTACGTTTGTACGTCTTCCTTTTCTTTCCTTTCCTTTCTCTTTCCGTTGTCCTTTCCTCCTCGCTCCTTTCAAATGGATGCGGTCAAATTCTGGGAGATGGGAAAAAAAGGATGTATCACTCTTACAAGAAATAAATGTTCCGTTAAACAACTGACAGAGGCGAAATGTACTTGGGTGCATTCTCATGCGCGGGCTGCACGCACGATGCAGCGCGGTGGAGAGGTTGGAAATGGCACGAATAAGGTAAAAAAAGGAATGCCAAAGGGTCACTGCGCATTAACATTTTCCGTAAACAAAACTTCGCTCGGCGGGGAGACACGCTGCTCGAGTGGCGAAGCGGTCGTCCTGCGTGCTGCCGTATTCGGCTGTGGAAAATACTCGTCAAAGCATTGTAAACGCGTTGATGCAAAGCTAGCGAGGGGAGGAAAAATAGTAGACGTTAAGTTGCCAGAATGGTGAAGTTGTATTATACATATTTCGCATATATTATATACGTATCAATGGGGGGTTAAAATAAAAAAGTGAAATCAAATCAGAAAAATAAAATAACAGCAAACTCTTCCTAATACCATTACTACGTTTATGTAATGTGGAATTTTATCTACTAATAAAATACATATGTGGATAAGGCGTATGCCGTACGTGGCGTTTCTTTGCTTCTGAAGAAGCGTGGGTAAAGAGAATCAATTTTATTACGTAAACATAATTTTTACTACGCAGCGAAGGCGAGCAAATGGGTTTTCCCTTCTTGTTGGATCGGCAGTTTGAAACAACTTTTTTAAAATAACAACGGGAAACAAAGTAAAGCAAATCAAAGGAGAAGCGAAGCAAACGAATGCCATGCGATGCGAAGAGAAACAAATAATAGCCAAATGAAGCAAATTTTGGTGAGTTATTTTTACAAGTAAAAATATCTATACTTAAAGTATCATCTATATTATGTATATAAATATAACATTTCCATATAAAAGGAAAAATTTTTTATAATTTTTTATACTTTTAAAACTTGCGTTAATAAAAAAAAAAAAATGCACGAAAAAATTATTTGCAACGATGCTTTGAGGTCGGCTCAAACAAAAAAAAGAACTGCAAAGTATCTCAAGTATTCGTCCACACAAAAAAAAAATATATAAATATAAATAATACGGAGATATATATAATATAAATATAATACGAACAAATATATATATATAAATATAATAAGAACATATATATTCCTATGTGGAAGCGTCATGTAGCGCTTAGATGATCGGGGAGCAATGGGTCGTATGTTTCTTTGAGCGAGACCAATTGGGCATGAACAGAGAAGTATACATAAACGTGCACAAATGCGTATAGGATATATTTAGATCATATACTGCGTACAGAGGTACATTCGTACATGTACCACGATCACATGCGGGGCGTTTTTTTTTCCAGCCGCATCATGACCTCCAGGGGAAAAGATTTCTACGGCGAGCAAATGCGCCTATCGTGGGTCACTGTCAAAATTAGCACAATCGGAAGGAGCATTATTTGTTGTACAACATTTTGAGGGGCATAAAAAAAAAAAAGAAGAAGCAGTATACTTGTGTAGTCATGTAAATCCGCGGCTTTGAGTAGATATATTTTCGTTCCCCTACACGTATACTGCATAAACTGCGTACTGCGCGAACGCAAGGTATCATGCGCGAAAGGGAAATAAATTCAGCCCACTAAAAAATGGAGCTTTACAAAGGGGAAGAGGGAGGGGGGCCCAACTTATTTTACCCACAATGAAATGATGCTGTCTTTTGTTGAAATAAGGAGAGGCCGATTTCATGGAGTCGGAGCGGCGCATATGTATATATGCTTTATGCAAATGGTACCTGCGTACGTAGTACCTCCTTATGCGTTTATATATTATTTATGTACAGTCTTCTGGCGTATATTCCTTCCAGAACATATATGTACAGCGCATTCTTAACGTGCTTTGCCCCGCACCCCCTCTTCCGAGGATGACAAAACGTTTCCTTCTCTTCCCACTTGAATGTTTAATGTACAAAGGAAAAATAGGGAAGCAAGATAAGAGAACCTCTGCTCCTAACTATGCAAAAAAAAAATTGGGATATTGTTCAGTTTATCATTATCCTCTTCTTTCCTTTTGAGGAACAAATGGGGGGCTACTTCGTCCAAAACCTGCAAGTTGTTTGGTATCCCCGGCGCGTTTTCGCTTGTGAAATTTATTAGGTCCGCAGATTGGTTTAGTGAAAAGGTGCCCCCGTTATTTCCGCTCTCATGGCAGCGGTCATAGCGGAGGTGGTCGTTGCCTCCATCGTCACCATTGCCGCAGTCTGCCAAGTCATCATTATCTGCATCCCCCAAATGCACGTAATTTCCCCGCCCAGCACAACCATTATACATAGCAGCACAAGCACCTTTTTTCGCTCCCCCTTCTAAACAAAAATGGTAAATGGCATCTTCATTTTCCTGCCCTACATCTGGGGCTACATTTCGCTTTAAATTTGCAAATTTTTGCAGATTCGAAATTTTTTTCTTAAAATTTTTTTTTTCCTCCCTCAACTGGTTTAGCTCCCTCTGGAGCCTATTCAGCAGGTGGCAATAAACGATGTTTATTTTTTTCTGTTTCGTTAGTTCCTGTAGTAGGACGATATTTAGCTGGGCGTATTGATCTTCCCCAGTCGTGGACATGGGGTGTCCCCCTCTGTATTTACGGTCAGATTTATTTCCCCTTTGTGCACTCCGTCCTTTTTTGTGACCAAAACTGTCCCAGTGTAACCCCAATTTGCCGTCAAATGATAGGTAATCTAAACAATGCCTATTCCTGTTAATGATGTCCTCGGTGTGCTTCAGTATGTAATCCCCCCCCATCGTTACATCTTCAGTGTTTATCGAATTTGCCTTCATATAACTTACGTTTTGGATGAGGTGATCTTCTACACCGTTCCTGCGTTTGGCTTCTTTTTTTCTGTCCCTCTTATTATCGCGTCCATTACGGTGTATATTATCGCCCTCAGTAGTGCTGTTCCTGTTTGCCCTTTTTTGCCCCCCTTCGTGCTCTCCCTGCGAATACACATCGCTTTGTCCCACTTTCTTTTTACTTTTCCTAAATTTGCTGAATGTACTTAAGGAGTGCCTGTCCTTATTAACTTCAAGAAGGGGCAAGTCGACACATGCCTCTTCCTCCGTAATTTGTTTTTTCTCCAATCCGTCCTTTGCATCGCTTTCTCGGGCGAATGTGTCTTCCTCTCCTCCAGTTTGCCCCGCTCCTACTCCATTGCACTTTTCATCCCTCGCCCCGCCTTCGTACCTTTCTCCTTTTTCAAGTTCCTTTTTTGTCCGAACTGCATAATCATCTGCATAATTATCTGAATTCCCCATTTTTGTTCCTCCTCCTGCGCCTGAAAAAGACACACCATCTTGAGTGGTTCCATTCCCCAGGGAATCCACAAGATCGACACCTTCGTTCGCATCAATCTGACAAGAGAGTGACCCAGTCATTTGAGCCTTTCCCAACTTTTCTTCATTATCCATCTGGGAGGACATTTTCTTTCCTTCCAAGTTAGTAGTTGCACTTTTCGCATGCTCCACCAAATGGCGGTCCTCACAATTTTCTTCCACAATAAAGTGGTCCACCTTGACGTTAACATCATCTTTCGTGCCCATAGTAATGTAGGCATATAAATAGTTGCATCCATTTCCCACCGAGTTGTACTTAATAAGGTTATTGCTTCCCTTCTTATGATGGGCCAATTTCGTATTCAGGAGTTTATTCATGAATTGCACCTTTTTGCAAGAATCAAATAGAAACAATTTTTCATTTTCTGTCAATATGATAATATTATCGTCACTGCATGCGAAATGTCTGATGCGCACATTGGCCATGTTGCTCATTTTTTTAATCCCCCGAATGTTATTTCCCCAGACGTAGAAGATATGATTTTTCGTTAAACAGGCTGAGTATAATTTCCCCAGGGATACCTTCACCACTGTGTCGTTTTGGGGTATATCAATTTTTTTAATTCTATAACTTGACTTGTTGCTTTTTATGCCCAACTCTCCATTTCGGTTGCCCCCCCAGGTGTATAATCTCCCTTTGCTCGTTAGCATGGCGTTGTGGTTGTAGCTGGAGTGTATGCTAGTAATTTTCATTTTTTTTTTTAATTCTATTTTTTTGGGGAAGTACACGTTTTCCTCGCGTTTGAAGCCCAGTTTTCCGTCTTCCCCGCAGCCGCAGGCGAGGATGTGGCAGTTGGGGCGGTCATCACAGGAGTTAGCACAGGAATCATAAGGGGAGTCAGCACGGGAGTCAGCACAGGAGTCAGTACGCGAATCGGCGCAGTAGTTCGCACTCTCATCCGCATCATGATCGTCGCCTTCTTCTTCCCCCTCCCCACTGTGGCTGCTACCTACTTCCCCATCATTAATATTTATGTCAAGCCCGTTGAGGCAGCCTGAGCCCACTTCCTTTTTGCCCTTCATCATGCAGGGGGATTTCCCCTCTTGTTCCCTCACCTTCGCCTTGGATGCACCCAAGTGACCTTCGCCATTTCCATCTTCACATTCGGTTAAAAAAAGGGAGTGATTTTTACCACACGCAATGTCTATGACTTTTTCTTGAAAGTAAATGAGCAGTGGCGTAGAAATTTCATCCGTGTTATTTCCGATACCTAATTGGCCACAGTTATTATTTCCCCAGACGAAAACGTTGTGGTTGCACATTAAGGCAATGATGTGTTCATACCCACATGACACCTTTCGTACTTTGTGTTTGGACAAAATTGGATTGATCGTCAATTTGATTCTATTCGTTTTGTCGCCCAGACCCAGCTGCCCATAATTATTTAACCCTACAATTTCAAAGTCGTCATTTTCGTATATAATTATTAGGTTATTTGGCCCGCTGTAAATATCCTTAATGTGTGCTGAATTTTTTATGTTAATCAGGGAAAATTTCTGTTTCTTTCCTATTAAGAATTCCTGCAAAAGGGAAGGGGACGACGTTGATAAATGCGCGGCTGAGCGCAAAGTTCAATTTTGGGTTTGGGGCCACTGATCCGCTGCTATTTGTGTGTATGTCCTTAGGAGATGCTACTGCTCAGACATGGACATTTGAACACACTGTGGTACTTCCAATCTCATACATACGTGTGTAAAAGGGGGAACACGTGACCTTCCAATCTGCGCCCACATTTACAATACCTTACATTCGTTCCGTGAACGACAAGCCGATTTTTCCCCTGTCCTTGTCCCATCTTCGTGGAAGCTTTATTCTTATGGGATTATAATGCGAAGGAAAAGACTAATTAAAGAAAAAAAAAAAAAAAAAAATATGAACGTTGAAGTATAAAATTCGCGTTGCACAACAAGTGTGTGCTATCCACAATTTTACCGACTGATCAGTTATGATAAAATTACGATTTCTTCCTTCTGACATTTGTGATTGGGGGGGTGAGTTGACGTAGGCATATTCACTCGGCGGATGCATTTTTTTTTTTTTACACTATGCTTGGTCCAAAATGTGTGTACTCCTTTTTCACCTGCGTTTTGTAAACCTTCCCCCTGATGGTCTCTGCGTAGTGGTTTACTTTTTGAGATTCTCTTCCTTGGATGAGCAGTGATTTGAGTAAATAACGACGCGTTATTCAATTTCACTTTTGAAATGGAATTTTTTTGCCTCGATTTGATTCCTTCTGTGGAGATGCTTAGCGGTTAAAAGGTAAGACGAAAAACGGGACACGACACTAAAATCACAGCGGAAGAAGTAGCCTCGTCGCCCAACCCATTTGTTCCAATTTTACACGAACGGTATCAGCAGCTATGGCACAACATTTATGCAAAGTGACACGTTCGATAAATTAAAAAAAAAAATTTTCTTAATTGTTAATCCTTTTTCAAAATAGTAAACACGTAAAGTTGCATATAAAAACTTTTCACCAAATGACAGCACAATATGGATAAGGAAAAAATCCGTTTGTCGGAACCTGGCATCAATGGTTACTAATTTTATACATTTGACAAATGAAATCACAAGGGGCGGGTGAACTATCGTATGCATTCAGCGTAAATAGGAGGAACACCACGCTATAATCCACTCACCCGAAAAAAAAAAACAAAAAAAAAAAAAATACTAAAAATTGTAAACGCATGAATGTGTAACGCGGCTGGGGGGGAAGGATGCATGCGGAACAAAAAAAGGATGAACAGGTTGAGAAAATACGCGGGAAGAGGTACCCTAACGCCGGTAAGAAGTACCCTACGAACAGCGCCAAGGCGCTTGCTGCTAAATTCTCACACCGCCTTCGAGGCGTACTTGGTGGAAAAGACCATGTAGGCGGAGAGCATGAAGTCCGAAATGAAGGTCAACAAAGAGACAAAGTTATTTGATAAATAAACGTACAGAAACGAATTCAGGTTGCAGAACCACTTGGTCTCGGTCGTGTTGGAAGGAGCAATGGAAGTCGTAGCCGTGTGGCCATGCTGAATCTGAGTTATCTGCAAGTATTCTTCATAAGAACAGAAGAGAAGGTTTCCTTCAAGTAGGTAGCTGGAATATAATACTTGGCTAACTACAAAAATTAATGTGCAGACATTTGTTAAAATGCTAACAAGGAGGGAAAATTTGCACGATCTTAAAATTCCATACAAATCGTAATAGCTCAACAGGGAAAACAGGATAGCCGAAATTATGGTAGTCACGAGGAGCAGGTGTAAATAATAAATCTTATGTTTCTGACTTGAATAAATAATTATCTTCACAGTGTCACTCAAATTGTTCAAATCGTAAATATTATATTCTGACAAAACTCTTTTAAAGAAGGATTTTGTTTTTAAAAATATATAAAATAGTCCTAGGTATAGATACGCCGAAAAGAGTTTTACGTAGAATAGGCAGAATTTTTTTCGAAACGTTCTGTCTGTATTCAAGTACAAGGTTATAAACTCAATCATCGATAGGAATATAAAAACTGATGGAAATACAAACGCATAGTTATGCATGCGGCATAAATTACTTCCTGTGTTGAGAAACAAATCCTCTTTATCGTAGCTAGCAAACCAGTACATATAATTCTCGATGTTACAGAAAAAAGTTCGATTTTCCAAATTTTGCAGAAAAATGGTACATATAAATAATATGTCCAAATGGAGGCTGATCAATCTTATGTACTTCTTGAAGCTAAATAATTTTATGCAAAAACATTTTACTCGAAAAGTTGAAAATATTTTCAACAAATTGAGAAGGATTAGAAAGGTGCCACATACAATGTTGATTATGCTAAATGCTTTGTAATAATTCATAAAAATTTTGTCATCCTTGAGGATGTTTTTTTCCTCTTCTTCTATGCCATGTTTTCCCTTTTCTTCGTCCCCCAATGTTAAGAAGTTGGTCGTTAGGAAGTTAAAAAGTACGACATACGTTGCGGTTGCAATTACTGACAGGATTCTTACGCCTACGAGAGCGTACTCGTGTTTCTTAGCTTTTATGTCTGTGTTTGTCGGCGCGACGTAAGTTCCCTTCATTCTGAAGGTGGGCGCGCGGCGCCGGTTAAGCGGTGTGACCTGTTGCGCAACCCCTCCGTCGTGTGTGTGGCGCGTTAATCATTCGCACAGCAGGTTCGCCAGCTATCGGGTTTGTAGTTTGATCGGTCTGGTCAGTTTGGTCACTTTGGTCAGTTTGGATCGGTTCTTATCTGTTTCCTTCGCGTAGTTCTCCTTTTACACTATTCACGCTGCTGTGTCGTATCGGCCTTCCTCTCGCCGTTCCAGTTACTCCCTTTCTGCGACTTCTCCGCACCTCGCGCGCTTTGTAAAGCCCCAACGCGGTGTACTCGGTTGAAATATATGTGTCAATTTGTACCTCCTCTTTGGGAAGGTTGAAAAGTTCATCGCATTTTGTGAAAATGCTTCTTTTGCTTAGAAGGGGGCGGGGCAAAAAGGACTTGTGGGTAAATCCTTACCTTTCGCTGGCTTGCAGGTAAATTCTTATCCTTTGCTTGGCTTGCATGTAAATTCTTACCTTTCGCTCCCTTGAGTAGGGACAAACATATGCATATGTAAGTAACGTATTTACCTGTGCGCAAGTGTTTGTATGTATAAACCACCCCTCGCGCATTTTTTTTTTTTGGGAAAACATTTACACTGCTTCACTTCGATGCCTTTCCATTTTTTTTGTAAAACTATGGCAATCAACGTGAGAGTTCCAAAATGGCCACGAACCCGCGTAAGCTATCAAATGTTGCCATATGCGAACGTTTATCGGCATATAATCACAATCCTTGTGGTGTGCTTAAAACTTCCAATGATCTCATTCGATTTGCTACGCGAAGATGTTTTTATGCCATCCCTTTACGTCACCCTTGGGCTTAGCTGCCGGAGCGCGTGCACTTGATATTTTTTTCCTCCTCATAAATGTGCGCATAGGTAGGCGAATGTCGCGAATGTGACGCATGGTTAGTATGCCGTGCATTGCATATACATATTACACACAGAATGGAAAAACGTTTCGCAACACAAGGAGAACTCTTTAAGATACCTTTGCCTAATCACTTGGGCGTACGTGGTTGCATAGGCAACACGTCGGTAGTATGTGCCTTCTCCTTCCATTTCGTTGCCCTTAATGCTCCGGGTGATACGCGGTTGCCAACGGTTGGACGCACGGCGGAAAGGATGTGGCCAAACACTAATGGAATTGCACCTTTTGATGAAGAAGTCAAGACAGTTTTTTTCTTTCTTTTTTTTCTTTCACCGGCGAGGTTGTTCAGATAATTTTTCCTACGAAGGGGCCGAAATTCAAGCGGAGGTAATGATTGCAAAGCGTGCATACAGCACAGCCATTCGTGTGCACGTCCGATCTTGCGCCAATTTCTGCGCGTGTATCTCCTCATAGCCGCGGGAGAAAAACGAAAAGGTTACTCTTTCAAGATGGTAGTCTTTCAAAAAAATGTTAATCATCAAACGTGACGTGGTTAAAATGGAAACAAAATTTTAAAAACTAAAAAGAAGAAAAGCAATAAAATAAAGATAACATCGCGGTGTAGAAGAAACAAAAGTTTGCTGAAAAAGGTAGTCGCCATGATGTACACAGGTTGGTTGAGCTCTTCTCATTTTACTGCCAAAATGGCTAATCGTTTTTTTTTTTTTTTTTTTTTTTTTTCCTTGTGCATTTTTAAAGCTTCTTAAACACCCCCTACTTATGGTATGCAAAAGGGGAAAAGAAAGAGAAAATATCAAATATGCACAGCAAATGGGTCAATGAATAGACGGTAGTTATCTCTAGCTAAGTAAAACATATACAACTTATAAAGAGTACAACATGCAAGGTTAAAGCTGCTAGGGGAGTAAGCGGAGGGAGGAAAAAAAAATAAAAAAAAGGAACTCCCACAATGTGTGACAAATGAAAGAGGGACGTGTTTATTGTTAATGCGCAACTTTGTCACAGGGAGAGGCAATCAATTAGGCATACAAGAAGTGTGCCCCTGCGGGCGATCTAACAGAATACTTTAACAGCTTCCTTCAGCTGATCGACATCCATCGGGATGTGCTCATTTTTAAAGGCCTCATCGATGACGCTTTTTTCCCCCTTATCGTCTACTTTCACCAAAGTATAAACAGCGGAGAAGTAATTTATGCAATTTTTTTTGGAAGCAATTTCTTGCAGCAACGGGTTTTGCAAGTTAATCGCTTCAGTGATGTTTTCGTTTTCATCCCCCAATTGGCTTAGAAACTTGTCGATAGTTTTCTGCTTATTTCTGTGTGTTTTTTTCTTCTCATTATCGTGTAATAAATTCATCTTTAGCATCGGCGTATGCTTATCTTCCTCATCGCTTCCGTCGCTGCTCCTCTCACCACCTGCTCCTTCCCTTTCCTCCTCCGCTTTCATGGCCGATCCCACCCCAAACAAAGTGATCTTCATGGAGGTGACGCCATAGCTAGTCACGCCCCCGATGATTTTATAAACATTTTCGTACTTCAGCGGGCGGTTATATGAAATGTCGATGTGGCGAACCACGTAATTCATTTTTTCAATATCTGTGGATGTTAATTTGAGAAGATAACAAATAACCGAGTTGCCGCAGTGTTTCACTTGGTTCGAATGGAACATGATGTTGAGGATGTCTAGATCTGAAAATTTCACCTTCTTCGATTCGTATAGCATAGTGTATGTGTTTCCATCTATCAGAAGCTTCAGGGTGATTGCTTCCGTGGCCCAGCTGTGAAGGTACAGGAAGAGCAGCGCGAGGAGGAGCGTGCGCGGGGATATCATCTTGACGGTTGGCGCGGATGGGGGAAGAGCGGAGAGAGGCAGCGTGGAGAGGGACAGCGCGGACGAAGTTAAGCAGGCCCAGTTGAGCTAACCGCGTTGGCAAAGTTGAGTTGGGCGCGTTACGAAGACACAATGGCTGATACTGAAAAGTGGTTAACGCTATCTGTATGGGGGTAAGGGGTGCTCAATCTGGGGAAGGGGCTTCCTTGTGCACTTTCGGAAAAATTTCCAGCGGTTGGAAAATGTGGCCAGGGGCAATTATCGACAGGGGAAACATGCACCTGCATCTGCCTGTGCTAGTGTGTATTATACGAACATTCATTCGCACCGCCCCAGCGGCACACCAAATCCAGTTAGCAAAAAACGGTGCATTCTGCCCGAAAATGCACACTGACGTGTCCACCGCGCGCGCGGAGGTTCTATTCCGTTCAGTTTCCCCCTATAGGTATTTCCTTATCCATCTGGTTAGGGCCTAATTGCCCATCCATCCATTCATTTGTCTATTCATTTGCCTGTTTATTTGTCTACCCATTTACTCCATTCCATCATGCTTGCATTACAGAGGAAACCCCAAAAGGGTGGCCGGGGGGTGCCCCCACCTGTGTGCACGTCATTGCCGCTTGAAGCGATTTAATTAAAACTTGCTGTTTTTTTTGGGTATGCGAAAACGGAGGGAATTTTAAAAGGGAGAATGGTGTCGCGGAAAAAAAGGAATGAGCAGGAAATAAGTAGGCTGAGTGGTTAGAGAATCGTGGGAGAGGAAGTAAAAAAAAAAAGATTATAAAAATGTAGAAAACTGGTGCAAACTGCACCGTTATGCAGACAAATTGGGCCGCCCAAAATTACGAGGCGCATCGCAATGCCCTATCCAGGATGCACCAAATAGACAAAACGGGGCATGTGAGTACCTTTTCCCATGTCCCCATGCAAGGGGGGGCGAGGGATCTTCCACAAAGTGGTCGCACCCATCGATGACAAAAGGTGGTGATGATTTATATTTGGCCTTTTTTTTTTTTTTTTGCCTAACAAAAAACACTGACTAACTCCTTCAATATTTCAACTTTGATTGGCGGAAACTCATTTTTGTATTTTTCCGGAATAGGTTCTTTAGTTCCTTCTTTATTTACATGAACTAGAGTATAATGAGCAGTAAAGTAATTTATACAGTTTTTCTGTGATGCGATTTCGTTCATTTTATTCCTACATAGCTTGATAACTGCATCGGCATTATCTTCTTTGTATTCTTTAAGAAGCTTTTCTACATGGTGGTGACTTGTGGTGGCGTCCTTGTTTGAATCCCTTTTTGTGGCCACCTCGCTGTGTTCAGTTTTAAAGTCCCCTTCGTTCTGTGCCCCTGAGGTGGAGGCCTCTTCATGGCCCTTCTCAGCATTAGTCGCCTCGTCCAAATGCGCAGACGCCCCATTTGGCAAAATATTTTTAACCCCAAAGTTGGTGCTACCTTCATTTCTACTGCTCGAGCTTGTCCCAAATAGAGTTATCCTTAAAGAAGTATTCCCATAGGAAGTTATCCCTCCTATTATTTTGTAACTGTCTTCATATTTTAGTGGTTTATCGTAACTGATGTCAACATGCCTCACTAGATAATCCATTTTATTCGAATCTCCTGATGTCATTTTCATTAAATAGCGGTTTATTGAATTGCCCGAATGCTTTACATGGTTTGAGTGAAACATAATTTTATAAGGATCAAGGTCTGAGAATTTCACCTTCTTTGGTTCGTACAGAATGGTGTATACCTTTCCATCCAGATCTACCTTCAGATTTTTTGCCTCCACATTTTCACAACAAGGTAGGAAGAATAGGCAAGCTAGAAGTTTAATGCATAACGGTAGAACCAGCAGCGCCCTCTTCATCTTGGCTCCCTTGCCGGTTTGATAAAATGGGGAAATGATAGCGGGGGTGCTACGTGGGAGTACTTCGCTGGTGTACTGCTATATTGGGTACTTCTGCCCTGGCTGCTACCTGGGAGCTCATTTATTTACTATTTTTAAAGGATAACTTTTGCTGCGGCACAGTTCGAGAGGCTCACTTTGGGCGGAGGCCTACTTTGGGGGAAAACGGCCTAATCGGCCTGGCGCTAGTCCTGCCTAAGCCACGAAATATCGAATCCTATTTTAGAAAATAAGGTATTTTTTTTCTTTTCCTTTTTTTTTGGGATAATCCTCCCCTTTCTATTTCATATGTTTTCTAAGCCGAGTTGGCCTAATCTAAAAAGCAAAGGGGAATTTTTATTCTACCTAGGACCGATAAAAATGGCAAGGCTGAATTAGTTTCCTAGTCTATACAAATAGTACCTGGAAAAAAATCCTCCTCTTTTTTCTTTTACCTCCTTCGCCCTTGTGCATACACCACAGTATTATTTTTACAAAAAAAAGAAAAAAAAAACACCTTTTCGCTCGAAAAAAGGCTGCTAAATGGTTCACACTTTTCTATAGGTTAATATATGTGCACACTTCTACCATCACATGAGGAATTTAGAAAGGAAAATTTCATTATTTAAAAAAAAAAAAGAAAAAGTTCTGTCAGAATTTCAATGGGAAAGAAAAGGGAAAATAATATTCCCTCGTGGATACCTGCATGTAGCATGTGCCTCTGCGCACAATGCGTGAGGCACGTCAACCTAGTTTTAGTGAGCTAATCGCGTCGCCATCCCGCTAGGTTATAATAATATAGCAGCAACTTCTAGATAATCATTATTTATACATACACAAATATGGCTAAAACGGGAAGCTGAAAAAGGGAAACTAAAAGAGGGTTGAGGTAAAACCCCACCCCCCTCTTCGTGTAACCCTCATAACAAATTAGCTATCCCCTAGTGCTGTAAATTGGCGTCCTGGTTAGCCGTTCCGACAAGGAAGGTATAAAAACAGGAAAGGGGAACAAACTCAAACAAAAAGGGTTCGATCATTTCGAGCCACCAGGAGCGCACGACTGTGCGTGCCGACTTCTACGTGGGACACACATACGTCAGGCACCCAACTGTTCCAATGAAACGGAAGTGTTACTCAGTAGCAAAATGGGGCTTAGCAACACGTCGGAAGAAGATGATCAATATGGGAAAATTTTATTACTTTTGTTTTTTTTTTTCTATCCCCTTCTTTCTTATTTATACGCTGCAGCGTGGTAAAGAATCGCGCCTCTCCTTGGCCCCCCTCGATTAGGCATAAATAAAAAAACATATATTATGTGTGCGTCTGTATTTTCTTTTCCTTCATTTTTCGCTCTTACTATTTTTGAGTAACCTGTAAAAGGGGGGAGGGAGCGAATGAGGCAGTCATAGTAACACACCGCTGGGGCAGTTTCACAGGCACGTGTTCGCACGTGGGAGGTACCCCTGTATGTACACTTAAACATGGGGTATAAAAAGGATTGTTCATTTATTTATTTTTTTTTAGTGAGCAGGGAAAAAAGGGTAAATGTTAGACACATCGCTATCCCCCCCTCCCCCATACAGCTCCATTTGTGGCGAAAAATCAGAAGTGCCACGGTTTTCAAAAGGTGGAATTATCCTAACTGTGTACTAGCTGTGTATTAACTGTCTCCCCTTTTTGTATTTATAAAAACACCGGGGGGTAATTTAACGTGACGCGATGAGTACATTTCGCGTAGTTCGGGTACACAAGGGTAGGAGTGAAGGCGTTATTCCGCTCTCCTCACTCGCCTTCTCGCTTACCTCTTTTTCTCCTTCCTTTCCTTGTTGAGCTTCAATTTGAATAGGTGCCTTTCATCATGAATTCTGCATTGGTCGGGGGCAGAGATTCCCACGCGGGGATTAAATTTGAGCAAAGACAAACGATGTGCTTTGCACATTCGTATGTCCATCACAATGTGTAGGTATGGAGACGGGGGGCCGGTGCAGGAACCGCACGTGACGCACATCAGAGCGCAGTTTACATTTTCTGTTGCGCTCAATTTTTACTTGTAGAAGTCCTTCGTCTTGGAAAGGAGCTGTATTTCCTCCTTGAGCTTTTTCGGGTGGTCGTTATTTATTCTGCTCTCGATTTCGCTGATGGGGAGGAGGCGAATGGGAGGGGGCTAATGTAGGGCGTTATACCTTACATGTCGCGTCTGAGCGGGGGACGCCCCCCTGCGTGTGCATGCAAAATTTGACGTGTACATGCACCACTTCACATGTAGACACATGCATAATCCACATGTACACACATGCATAATCCACGTGTACACACATGCGTAATGGACGTGCAATCAACGGATAATCCCCGTGTAGTGCATGGGCAGTCCCTACCCTGGCAGCTGCAGGGCATCCTGTCGCCAGTATAACGAATTCGACGCGCTAGTCCTTTTCTTCAGTTCGATAAGCCGATTATTCAGGTAAACGCACAAATGTTGGTCATCTAGAATTTTCGCGGAAACAAAAACGACACCCGTCCCATCGTTTATGGTCAGAAATAACCCATCAAAGAAGTCCAGAAAAAGCGTCCAGCTGCCAAAAACTTTGTACACAGAAATGCCCGACGCTATAATCTTATGCGGGTAAAAACTGTACTCAAAGACGTGCTTGAAAATATCCTTCACGTTTAAAATGCACTTGTAATTTTGTAAGTATTTAAATAAATTCAGGGCAATATTAATGACACTGTAATTGTAATGGTCCTGTTTAAAAAAATAGTTGTAATCGTTCGATTTGTTATTATAAAGGCTTCTCAATTTTAGAATTTTTCTTTGTAGAGATAGGGGCAATCGTATATTCACACTTCGCATGCATTTCTGCATGTCCTTTTTATTGTAAAAGGTAGCGTAGCAAATGTTGTTGTTAATGTATGGGTCGTTTCTGTGACTTAGGCATCTTAATATTTTCAAACGGCCATACTTGTTTAAGCTTTTTCGGAGCCTTTCCTGGAGGTACTCGTTCGTTCGGTTAGTTGGTAGGTTCGTTATTTCGATGGTATTCTCTCCGTATATGTACATGTATTCGTGCCTGGATGGAGGGGGAAAAAAAAGGAGGTAACACATGAGTGGCTGTTTGTGTGTGCAGAAGGTTGTACGTGCTAAAACATTCTGGTGCATGATTGTATTCACTCCCGCTTTGTGCCTCACTAAGGGTAAACTCTCCCAAAGTGTCCACCCTCTTGTGGTTACCCAGACTTGGGCGTACTGTATCTCCAGTCGATGAGCCCCTTGGAGTTCCTAGAGTACGGAGGCTGGTGAAACAGACTGACACCTATCCTTTTCTTTCTCTTTTTCTCGATATAGCATTTGATTTTGCTCCCCCCGGGGTACTTGTGAAAGAACCTTTTGAATATCATCCTGGGGGAAATTTACTCACTAGGCCTCCTCAAATTTCATCGTGCCCCTTGCGAACTGCGCATTGCAGGTAACAACAAAATGGGCGCTGCAAGTTTCTGGTAGGTTCCACCCTCCCTGTGTGTGTTCTTTTTATTTTATCTTATTTTATTTTATTTTTTTTGGTCCTTCCCAGAGTGATTACACTCATTACAGCTTGCGGGTGGGCCAATCAAAGGAACATGCCGGAGAATCAGTGGAGTTCCGAAATGGCGAAGTAACTTTGCGGAATAAGCGAAAAACAGCACTTCGCGGTAGGAATTATCGACATACTGTGCGTGGGAGGAACGCAGGGAACATCTCGACTCACGGTTAGAGCCAGTTAAGGGCGGTTTGCGCTTTCCCTGCGGAGAGAAGGTTTGTGTAGTTTGTTGGGATTGAAAAAGCCGGCAAAAGGGATAGTTCAAACAGGGGCGAGATAAGTAGGGCACGAAAAGTGCGCAGTGGGAAAAAATCGCGCGAGAAGAGACAGCACAAGGCGAAGACAATAAGATAAAATAAAATAACGGGCCAACATCAATACTTAAATAGGGTACGCAGACCCCTGCGCACTTAAATTAGCAAACAAATGGCGAAACGGAAACGCGCGTTAAGAAACTCGAAAATGAGCTGCTAATCAGGCCAAAAAAAAAAAAGGATAGCCCATAGCCAGTAGCCAATATCCAAACTGTGTGCAAAAGGAGGGGACCACTTTCTCCACATCTTCTCACGCCATTGGAAGAAAAAACTTGTGAGAAAAGAGAAACCCACATTGTCAATTTTCGTGTCCTATTATTGCAAATAATTAGCAGGAATTAAAGAGGAAAAATTAAAACTTCACTATTGCATAACATGGAGAGGGAGTTTTCCCAATGTTGACGTCATGAAAAAAATTATGACCAGATGAAAAGAAAAAATATATATATATAGATTGTCCATTTTAGCCTCCCGCTAGGCGGCTTCCTTTGTGCCGATTGTTCCCCCCCGGAAGTTTGGGGCACGACGAAAACAGTTATATTTGCTTTACCGTGTAAGGACACATACAAATATATAGACCATTAGGCAAACATACTCACACGCGACAAAATGGAAAAGGGCGGCAAGAGAAAAATCAAGGACGACGGCGTCGGCAAAGATGATCACGGAGGAAACGAAAAAAAGAAAAAAAAAAGTAAAGTAGAAGCGAAACCCACAAACAATAAGATCCACAGCTGTCTCAACATTCACAACAATGTACTGATAAAAATGGTTAACGAGAACAAACGAAAATTTGAAAAAGTAAACAATGTGGAGACTATGTACACAAAGATAAAGGCAAGCATTACTTCGCTCAACGTGTCAAGTGTGCTAATGGATCACTATAATTCGTTTATTTACTACGAAAAGAACAAAATGGACTTCCTCCTTCCCGAGTTGGACGCAATAGTCAATTCGTCCAATATCGATGTGCTCAAGGGACTAAGCGAGTTATCCTTTTTCCCGATTTACCACGAAACGGTTAAAAGGAACAGGAAAAAAAAAAAAAAAAAAAAACAGATGCACAAACATGGATCTATATCTACGCAACTATGAAAATGACTTTTGCACATTTTAAGGCAACTTGTGTACTAGTTTGGATTAAGAGAAATATCCACAGTTACACGTCACCCCCATTTGGGTAGGCATCATATTTTACATACGCAGTGTTCCTCACGTATCGAAATTAAACGTTATAACTATCAAGTTGTACCCAGAAGGCCAATTTAGTGGCACCCTAGCAGAAGAGGGAAAAAAAAAAAAAAAAAAAAAAAAAAAGGGGCCCTTTAACTCCTGCCGGCTCCCTTACTTGGAGTTACGCCACCTGGTTCTATTTTGTTCCTTTTTTTTTTTTTTTCTTTTTTCCATTCGGACCAAAGCTGAGAAAAAGAATAATCGAATGGCTCGCCAAAGATAGAGGAAAAAAACAAACCGACAATGAAGATCCCGAGAATATGAGCATGTCTTACTGGTTTAGCCTGAACCTCCTCCTGACGTATCTGATTTACAAAAATGACCAGTACTCCAGTTATGCCTCCCTGGTTCACCTGAATTTGTTGCAGGTATGGTAGACAGGGTGGAAATAGGCAGACACATGCGAATAGACGCCGCGTTGTCGTTCTCATACGAAGGGGGTCGTGATGTCACCACTGGGGGAGACGAACAAGGATAATTAGTGTCTCAGCACCGTTTCTCCGCACTATTTCTCCGCATTGCTTCCCCACATTTCTGCGTGCCCCCTTACCCCCTTCCAGTGGATGCAGCGTGACAAAAGAAGGTTACATTTCCGCCTGTTTACACTGAAAGGAATTCTGAAGCGGTTTCTAACTTGCTCCTTCTACTTCAACGACAAGGAAGTGGCGAAACTGGAGAAGGTGGACAGTGAGGATGGGAAAAATGGTACGGCTATTTAGGATTCGAAAGAGGGAGGAATGGCTGGGTCATCTCCCGTGAGCACTGTATGCATGCCGCTTATGCTGCGCAAACTGCGGTTATATATTGCATGCACTGATCGTATATATGCACCGAAGCAGTGGTGTCCTCATTTCCTCTATACCTCATTTTCCATTTCCGAAGAAAACGAAGGGACTGTCCTAAAAAATGTATTCATGGCTCTGAACGAAAGCATAGAATACCTAGATGTAAGCAACTTGGTGAACATAAACGACAAAAATTGTATCTTCGAGTTAATCAAATTTTTTCTCCAATTGGTAAGGAAGCCACTAATTAATTCTATCCATATATTGTGTATTAACTATCTGATAAAAATAGTGAGAAGATGTTATGACTTGAGGTTGACTTATAACATCAACGTGGAGCTCTATGACATCGGGCCGGAGGTTAACATCTTTGTCAAAATAGTGAACCTAATTTTTGCGAAGATATTGTTACTCTTGAAGGAGACAAGGAATGAAGAGAGTATATACTCTGTGGATCAGATTAACAATATGAATAACTTAATTATTTTGTTTTTCACCAACGTTGTAAATAGTTGCATTCGGGTCATTGTTCCTCAAGTTCTCTTTAATGAGAAGCTCAAGCGGGATTACTTGTCTGCCAGGGAAGGCACTTCACCTGTGGAGAGCCAACTGTGCTTCGAGGACCAGGTGGTGGCCAACGCGTGTAAGGGGAAAAAAGCGCTGCACAGCGGCGTTGATAGATGCGTTGGATAGGGGCGTTTCATAGCGGCGTTGATAGCGGCTCTTTGTCGGTGGAGACGCTGCGCCGATGCCGCAAATGGGCGGCTCCTCCCCCGGCGGCTATAACCGTGGCGGATCTTGCGAACGGTCCCCAAAGTGTTTCTTCCCAAATTGTCTTTTCCCAAGTTTTACACCCTTATCTTTTCTTTTCCAATGAGTAACTCTTTTCCTTTCCCATATCAGGCAACCCTGTGTTCTCTTTCATCGAAATATTCATCATTAACAACCATGACCGGAGCGAAAGGAACCTTTTCCTGGACTTAATCAAATCGTTAGTCAAATTGTGCAGGAAAATAGAAAGCAAATACAACGTCATGCGAATCATATGCGATGAGTACATGCTGTTCGTTAAGGACGACGAGAACAAGAAGAGAGATTCCCGATTTTTGGACAAGAACTATTTAAGGGTTCGGAAAATTAGCAGGAAGAGGATCGACTCCAGTGCATCGTTCACGCTGGAGGATGATTGCAGCTCGTCTGTGTGCTCCGAGTCGGAGGGGGAGGAAGTGGGTGGCGTCGAGACTGATCCAGAAGCTGACGCTGACGCACCGGATGGCGCATTGGATACCGTCGATCCGGCCACTCTGGACCACCCCACAGAGCCAAATGGGGAAGATGCCCCCCACGAGACCCACAGAAGGACTAAGAAAAAGACGAACACCTGGGCAGCGAAAAATAGGATACAAAACAAGAGAAAGTCCACCCTTGTAGTGGATCAAAAAAGCTACTCCATCACCTACGAGTCAGTTATGGTGAGATACCTAAATATTCTCATAAAATATATCAACTGCGAAAAGTATCAAATAAGGAGCATCATTCTAGATCTATTCCTAGCCTTGATGAAGAAAAAAAAAACGAACAAAAATGAATCCATTTTCTTGAAATTGTTTAAATTATTTCTAGAGAGGTTAGAAGACCCTAACATGGTTGTCAGGGCAAAGGCACTATCCATTCTGGGAATCTTAACGAACAGAAAATATCATAACAATAATTCACTTGTGTATAAATTCATATTTAACAAAACGAAGGAGAAAATTAACATGTACAAAATCATTTCGGGAAATATTTTTAGCCACAAAAGTAACATCCGCAAATTGACGGTGCAATATATAGAGGCCATTTTCGAAACCCTTATAGGGAAAAAACTAAGCTATAAATTATTTTTAATTTTTATTTCCAACTATATGTACTGTTTGTCCCTGGACGCCATGCCATCTGTGAGAAGACAAATTCTCCTGACTGTGAATAATCTGTTTATTAATGCAAGTGAAGACGTGTATGTAGCCAAAATGTGGCTGTCTATCATCTTGGCAGCCATAACGGATATAGAGGAGACGGTGAAGGATGAAGCCATTTCACTTTTCTTAAATACATTCATAAAATCTGCTTTTCAGTGCCCCATTTTGAAGGCAAACGAGAAGACAATAAAAGAAGTTTTGGCCAAAAATAAACTCACATATTTTAGGGCGACTCGTCAACCATGGTCCGTCTCATCAAGTAGGCACAGCCATGCTGGGCGGGATGAAGAAGCGGTTTATGGGGCAATCGGGGAAACGGCCTATGGGGATGTTGGAGAAACAGTCTATCAGGGTGCTGCTGCAGAGAAGGGGTCCACCTCTACCAGGGGGATAATAACACCCCACGAGGGAGACTCTGAATTTACGAAGGAAAAAAACAAAAGTGAAAAGAAGGATAACCGAGACGAGTGCGATAAAAATAACAACGGGGTGCTACTTCTTATAGACACATGGAAGACCTACTTCGGGGAAGACGTGACCAACTACTTCTTAACCCTTTTGAGGACGATGATCAAATACGACCTGCAGAATTTCAACCTGATGATTTTTTGCCTCAAGCGGAAGAAGAATAACAGCCTCGAAGAGTTCATCAGCGTACTGAACTCCTTTATGTACAACCTGCGCTACTTTTCCATAAAGATGTGGAACATTTTCCTGCTCGATTTTGTCATAGAATTGTCTAAGGAGTATCGGCACAGCGTGGATATCGGGAATGTTCTCTTCCTCCTGAGAAGATGCTACCGAGTGTATCTGCTGAGCGCCCCGGTGGGGGGGCCCATCCACATAGATAGCGCTGTTGGCGGTGATGGCGTTAATCGCGTCGATCGCGGTGATGGCAACGAAATGACCAAGGCAAAGAGGCACGGGGACCGTCCAACCGAAGAGCCCACCGACGACATCCTCACGAGGGAAGAGTTACTGGACGAGATGAACACCTGCAGCAAAGGCGTCCTAAAAAACATCATGCTGAAGCTTTTTACCATCGTTTATAACTTACTAGACACGATAGAAGAGCTGAATGAAGATTTTATGAAAAATTTGGAGTATGCCATTTTTCAATTCAATTGTCCTCTGTGTCTAATTTATATCATTTTGAATATCCTGATTAAGAAGAAAAAAGACAACGTGAGCGAATTTATTGACAAGCTGAAATATAAGATCTGCTTCTTCTTCGAAATTGTAGAATCTGTTCCGCAGGACATAGTCTTCTGCAACATTTTAATCACCTTCATATTTCTGATGAAGCACTTTAAGAAGGAGGAGATGATGCCCTTTCTGACCACAGCTAGTCAGAAGCTAAAAAAAATCTACGACCAGGTAGTAACCAATGGGGCAAATGACAACAACAGTATCATGGTAAGGAATTGCATTTACCTAACTCAAAGCGTTTTATTAATCGACAAGGGGGTAAACCTGAGAAATGATTTATTTCTGAGCATCGAAAGGGATTTAAAAAATGGAAACACTTCTATGAACATCCTGAACAATCTAATCATCCTGACTTACTACATGATCATAAATTTCGGAAGCTCATGCAACAAGTTTGTGTACCTCCTGCTGCGGTTCTTCAAGCACGAAAATAGTTTTATTCGTTATTTGTCCTTTTATATGATATCCAAATTGATATCCGAAGATTACATAAAATTTAGCAACCACTTCTTCTTCGCATTTCTGTACCTCCTGGCGGATAAGAACGAAACGATACAGAAGCAGTCCCTGTCCGTTTTTAAACACATCCTTCTCATATACAACAAGGCGAACCTAATTAACTACATCATTGAGTTCATTTTTGTTCTGAACAATTTTTACCATTTTAAGATGAGCAAACATTTGGCCAATATCGGGAACAGTTACGAGATAAAAGAGAAAAAAGACCGCTACACCATATATCACTTTCTGCTGGAAAATCTAAACAATAGTGAGAAGTTTTCCCTCCAACAGAAACTGATTAATGATTATCTAATACAGTATGTTTATAATTATGATAACTTTTACTTCTGCGAAGAAGACATCAATGAGAAAAAAAACGGGAACAAGCGAAATGTGATCCCCTTGAATGATGAAGATAATGAAGGGGCGGTGCTACAGGATGTCCTAAATATCTTGTCATCCAAATTAATGAAAATTAAAATAAAAAAAGATTTTACCAAATTGGAGGAAAAAAACAAAAATCTCAAATTGAAAAATGTGGAGAATAGTGTTAAAGTTCTTAACGATTTGATGAAAAATATTTTAAAAAAAAATACCCTCCCGATTTTGCTATCCCTCAGGGCAATTATGCTTAAGGCGAAATCTTTTTTCTACAAACATATAAACAATTTGATTATTTACCTCTGTCTGGATTATCGAGATTCTCTAGAGGATCTAATCCCAGAGGTGCACGTCAGAAATGAGCTCGCCAATGACTTACAAAATTTCACCTACGTTGACTTAATCCAACTGCACACGGATCAGGATGACCCCTTTCGGAAGAACAACAAGGTCGTTAACATCAACGTGAACTTTCTGGAGCTGTCTCAGAACGAGGCCATCGAGGAGAGCCGCGAATGGGAACACCACCTCGAGATGGACAAAAGGTCGACAGAGGACTACCGGCACAGCGACAGCGAAAGCGATTACGACGAGGTCCACAATGTGCTCCACGGGATTCACGACGTTCGGGGGGGCGACGTAGGAGTGCATAGGAGAGGCGCGAATGGAAGAAGCGCGAATAGGAGAGGCGGGAACAGGAGGGGCGCCACCAGGAGGGCCGCTAATAATTTAACTTAATCACCATTCATGCGCACGGCATGAGGGGCATTATACGGGGGAGGTGGCGGACGAGCCCCTGCTGAATCGCCACAAAGACGGCTCGCAGTGAAGCTTTTCCTTGTTGCCCCCAACTTAGGACCCCAGCCTGCACATGCGTCTTCCGCCTCCCCCCCAGCGCCGGGGTTACTTCTTCTTGGCCTCGTTTGTGTTCAAAAACTGGAGGTTGTTGTTTGTGGAGGCGCACATCTTCTTGGCCATTTCCTCAATTTTGTCTATCTTGACCAGCTTGCTTTTCTGCGAAGGGGGAGGAAGCACGTACGTATGTATGAGCGCATGTATGGACGCATGTATGGACGTATGTATGAACGCATGTATGAACGCATGTATGAACGCATGTATGCACGTACAAATGTATGAACCCCTGATGGTGCATTTTTACACGGGGCACGCCTTGGCCACAACGCGCACGCATAAATATATGTGCGTACTAACCTTCCTCAAACTTTTGACGTCAATTTTTTCCTTATTCTTTTTGGCCTTCTTCGACTTGTTTTTCCGTTCCGTTATTTTATTCTTCTTCACCTTGACCTTTAAGTTCTGCACCATTCTTTTTACTATCGTTTAAGTTGCTTTTCTGACGTACCTCCAAGGGCGGCGTTCCCTTTTCCCTTTTTATTTGCGTTTGCGTCTAGGTTCGCGCTTGCCTTCGAGCTCGTGTATGGTAGGGCAAGTAATGCAGGTGGAATGGGCAACCAGGGGGGCAATGCTCAACAGGGGGAAACACGGAAATTTTGCCCGTCGAGTTTACGGCAAAAGGGGTAGCCTCTTCCTATCTCTGTAAATATTTTTAAAACATCTCAAAAGTGAATCCAAAATGTGGGGAAAAAAATTAAACCATAATATGCGCCAACGAGGGACTCTATATTTCCGCAGAACGAACTAGCCAAAAAAATATATTTAAAAAAAAAAAAAAAAAAAATTATAGGCACAGTTTACGCAAAACGGCATTCTACTTTGTAGGACTCGAAATGAGGTGGAAACAATTGGGGGCCACCCCCCCCTTCGTTGGAAATGTTTTAAAACTTATGGGCGTTTTTTTTCTGCTTTCTGGCCAATTCGCAGAAAGTGGCATATGCTTGTGACCCTTCCCGTGAGAGCGAATTTATGCAAACTAATGCCACTGTATGGAGGAAAGTACATACCTTTTTTTTCTTTTTTTTTTTCTTTTGGAACATAAAAATACCCCCTTCCACGAATGCACTCGCGCGTTGCTGATTCCCCTGGCGGCGAACAGATTATGAACGAGAAAATCCCAGACCTGATTGTGGGGCACGAAAAAAAGGAAAAGGAGAGGTTACGGAGAACGAGAAGAAAAAAAAACACCAAGAATTACATACACAGGAGGGGCAAGTACAGCTTTATATACTTCCTTTTTTTACATAGTAAAAATAACCCCGTTGAAATTATAACCAACAATTTCGATGTCTTAAAAGGGGAAATTAGCGAAATAAAGAAGTACCCCAGTAACAACAAACTAAAGGGAGTCATCCTTACGAACGTCATAAAAAAGGGTTGCATCGACAAATGTACATTTAAGAAGGCATACATTTCTTTGGCGAATATTCGCTCCTGTGTACCTCTTGGTAGCCATGAGAATGCAAAGGTAGCGAGGAGGGAGAAGACAATCTCGAGCGTCATTATCAACGGGTATAAGAATTTAATGGTAAATGAGATATATGAAAAGTTTAAAAAAATTGGGGGGTAGTCGAAAGAAACGAAGTCAAAGGTAACGTAGCGTAACGTGTAGGTAAGCGTTAGAGATCATCGCGAAATATGCGCGAGGCAAATGTGGACTAGACAGCTGGTCCACCCCGCGTCGCCACATAAAAATAGGCCTGTAATTACCAAACTACAGTTATGCCTTAAAAGGAGCACCCCCTGTGGTACCGCCGCCGAACCGAATTGATCCTTCGCAAGGTAGCTTGACAGGTGTACATCTCTGAAATGAAAAATTATTCTACAAATAGGAAGACACACAAAAGGAAACCCTACAAAGAGCCCAGCACAACGGCGGAATTGTCGGAGGCATTCCTAAAAGAGTACCATTTTTAAGTGCCCCACTGCACCACTTGGAAATGAGGCAAAAATGCAAAGTGCCTATTTGCGTACAACAAATGGAAAACGATACATGTTGGATAAAAATACGTGCCGCAAAACATGAAAGGTGCAGTAGGACACAGTGCTTGGTTATTGAAAAATGTGACAGAGCGCAGTGCCCTGGTTTACACCACCCATTCGATTGACTCTCCCCCAATTGGGAATAAGTAAAAAGCAGGGCACATAACAGGAATGAAACGATCATCCATTACAACCAACAAGGCTAAAGGTATTGCGTTGTAAGGTTAATGGAAGGTATGTCTCTCTATGTATGTGTGTAAGTGCTTTCTCCCTTTATGAATTTCCCATCGCCTGGGGATGCTAAACCTGCATTCCGACGTTCCCTTTCTTGAACGATAGCGCGTTTCACACATAGGGAGATCAAGCAAGGGCGTGTCAACAGTGAAACTTCCCGCGTAGTCCCAGCTGTCCCTCTTCGCAGGCTCAAAGGCCTCTTCATTTTTGCGCAGCTCCACGTAAAACCGTTGTTCCATTTTT